TTTTTCGCCCCCCGTCTTGCTGCACCCCCTGGGGTGTGGTGCAGGGCGGGGGATGCCTGGTCGGCGGGAACCCGGCACGGAACCCTCCGGCGTTGTAGGCGGGTGTGGGAAGCGTTCCCCGTTCTCCTTTTATTTTATTTTGATCGGTCTCCTCGACGCTCTTTCTCGTTTGGTGCGGTAGCTGGTCTTTCTTTCTATCATTTTGTTTCTCTTCCGAGTGGTTTTTGTACCCTATTTTTTTCTGTTTCTTCGTGGGGTCGTGTATGCCCGGTTTTGAGACCACGGGCTCCCAATCTCTCTTTTTTAGAGCTAATGTGAGAAACAACAACAACAACCCCTGCGTTTCCAGCCTTAGTGTTTATGGCGAGAAGGGTTCAGCCATACCTTTTCTCTCGTCGACCGTGAAGCCGAAGTTTGTTTACTCGCGACCTAAATCGCTTTCAACTCACCGGTTGCTGGAAATAAATCCCGGGAAATACAGTAACCCTCCGGAGAGAGAATCGAACCCATAACCTGTCGCTAGGGAGTCGTGAAGATTTTAATTTTTTTTTTCTCTTCTCGGGAGTCCGTTACCAGCATCGGATGGCATCCTCCACGAGTCGGAGCAAAAAACACCCAACGCTGCATGCAGCCAGCCGTGTTAGCCAAAGCAGAAACGCCAATCAACTCACCTTGATATTTTGCTGGCGCAGACCGAACCAATCTTGACCGCCGAAAGTCCGGTCGACATACAGGCGGTCCACCGTGCGCTGTGTACGCAGGGCAGACGGAGAGAAGGGGAGAATGTCTTGAGATGGGCGTGAGCGCTCGCCGCAACAGCTTGTCGGCTATCACACAGCAGTATCTGAAGAGGTCGAGTAAACGGCTTGGTGCCACGAACCCATGCAGTGAAGATGGAACAGGGGGGGTGAACCGACAATTCGGACTTGCAACGGTAAGCTTAATCACGATGAGAACACACGTCGATCACCAAGAGAGCACCACCGTTGCGATGCACAGCGTAAGATCTTCGTGAACGAAAGCCGCGGCAACATCGACAGACACGGGGATGTCGAACGCACACGTTTATATCTAAAGTAAACTGCTGCAAGGAGTAGACTACTGCTGCTGCACGTTCACTATTGTACAAGCCAACCCTTTGTTTTCACCAAGATACAACAGCAGTTGTACATCGTGCAGTCGCACGTGATATTGGTAGAAACAAAAGGCATGCAAAACACCGACTGACTCCACGTCTCACCCACGTTTCCGCGATGGCTGCTTGCTCGGTGTTGAAAGTGGAAGCAGCAGCGTTGGGAACACCGGCAGAGGCGACGACCTGAGTAACGGTATTCCTTCCCGTCGGACGTGGTGATTTCACCTCCAACCCAGGGACCACACCGGTCAGAATAACACTGACTGCCAGCAAGGATGAAAGCACAGCCTTTGCCGGTTGCGACATGCTGCTCGCGGACATGACGATCCTGTTACATCTGCTGCATGTATGCATACGACGCCGAGGTTGTTCTCCTGTTGTACAGGTGCGGCCTCGTTGCTGCGGCGAGCAATCTCTGCGTTGGAACGCGCGTGAGAGGGAAACGCGCGGTGCTAGGGAATAAGCGACCTCATCGTGCAGGAAAAGCACCAGCAACAGGCCGCACCAGTGTCTTCTCCCCATCGTTAAAGTGTTTGCGCGGCAGCACAGAACAGGCCGGCAAGCTGGGGTCTGGGGGGGAACGCAGATGAGCTCGGAAAAGAGGGGGTGGGTAGGTGTACAGTAGGTGGCCCGATATAGTAGTTGCATATGGTGGCCAGACAGAATTGTGCCACTATTCAGGGCAGTGCCACTATTCGATATAGTGGCACTATTGCCACTATTAGACAGTCGATAGTGGCAATAGTGCCACTATATCGAATAGAGAGCTTCGATGTTCACGCTGTACACTCATTATGCGCTGTAAAGCCGTGTATACTGTTCCACTCTTCGTGGTTTATTTGTGTGCAGCAGTATCCGCATGAAACACATGAAACGGCCGTTGATTATCCAACGGTTACCGAGCCTTCTGTGGTCAAGACCTGTTTTTTCTGTGCAGGCAGACCACAGGAACCACGTCCAAACGCATTGTATCATAGGTGGCATATCATTTTTTTTGGTCCGGCGGGCAGTGTAACATGGGGTTCAACACTACGTTTGTTGTTGTTGATGTTGTTTCTCACATTAGCTCTATAGTCCACAAAAAATGGAGAGCCCGTGGTCTCAAAACCCGGCACATACGACGCCGCGAGAAAACAAAAAAACAAAAATAGGGGACAAACCACTCGGAAAAAGAAAACAAAATGATCCGAAAGAAAAGAACAGGTATCGCACCGACCGTTCGAGAAAAGAGCCCTCGGACACCGATCAAAATAAAACAAAACAAAAATAATAATAAAATGAAGGATGACGCTTCCCACACCCGCCGAAAGAAAAAATCAAAGGGTAACGTACCAGCACCAGGCACTGCGCACCAGGGCATGGGAGTAACGGAGCAAACAGGGCAAAGAGGCGGCAGATGGGCAGACAGCCAGACGTACAAAAACAAAGGCAACAGCAAAGCG